GGTACAATGACATGGTCATTTCAGACTCGTTTGATTGTGCATCTCAGCATCCTTAAGCGCAGATTCAAATTTATCGAGCTAGTCCCTGTATCAAATCCTTCTAACATGTGTCCTTTGGACATCTTTGGGCACAGTTCCCGTTCCCCTTTCAAACAGTGCACGCGAGCGCGTTTGTGTTTATATTTATAGACGTTGCTCTTCTTGCAAGTGCGTTTGTTCTCCTACCTTCGGTGGGGTTCTAGGTGTTGTTTTTTCCAGCGAAAGATTGAGGTGCCACAGCGGTGCAAATCAGCACTTCAACTGGAAGACGCTAAGCAAAATCAGAGAGTCATTCAAGCTGTCGCAAGTGTGACTACGGTAGATGGCCATGTGACCGTGCAAGCAGACAGTTGTTGGTTTGCTGAGAGGTTTTGTGAACCAAACGAGTCATGATGAAGGAGTTGGATTAAATTGAGATCGAAGGGAAGCTGGGTTGTCAGACCTTTCAACATGACATCCCACCATAGAATTTTGGATGCGGCATTGGACTGTTTTTCCATGTTTTTCCACTGTTTTTTGTGTTGTCCTGCTAAAGGTGTACGTGAGCAGTTGGGCTTACCCAATTCACAAAGATTTGCAACAATCCAAAGCTGATTCCCAAACCTCCCACAGCAAGGGTGCTGCTTCATGATTCGAAAGAACCACTGAGCAGTATTGAGCACCAGTACTTGCAGTCTCTGTAGCTTTAGCTAGGGACGCGCAAACACTTGCGGTTGTTGAATCTAGCGTTTAGCGAGGGAGGAACATGTTTCATTCATACCTCACATTGCTGAAGAAGTACTTGTATCTTCATTTCAGCCAGCTTGGCTCAATATAAACCAAACAAGGTTCAACAAATGCGCAAGACAATCATCACAGCATGGCCCATTCGACATTGGCCCAAAATAGGTGCAGCATCGGCTCAACATGCCAAAAGCATGGTCACAGTAGAGCTTGTGAAGGACTTTCAGGCAATGCAGACCCCGAACCGCTTACAGCCTGTCTTTCCAATACGCATGTTTGCATGCACAATTTGCAGTTTTCACATATAGCGGTTTCTTCCCACAAAGACCCACGAAGCACAAAACTCTTTGGCCACGAACGCCCAGCATGTCAGAATCAGAATACTTTTTCTACAACTTATGTAATTAACCTATATATAATGCAAGCATGTGCATGGGACACCTGCTCCACCAGGATTAAATACCTTACTGTACCGGCCACCAAAAGCCTTTCACAAACGTTCTAAATGAGGAACGGTTTTGCATTCAAAGCGTTTGTGCTAGATAGCGCTTACACCAAATCCAAAACCCTTTTGCGTGCAAGTGGTTCCTGACCGCTGATTCAAAGTCATCAAGTGGGCAGGGGCTCTCACAGCAGTATTTGAGAACAGCACGTCATGATTTCAGGATTGCGCTGCGAATAAAGAGCAGAAAGGATCCTTCGATGTGTTTGGACATGAACCCTGCAACCAATCATGTTGCTCGGCAAACAGTTCAGGCTGCCTTCATGGTTTGGGCAGACGGGCAGGGGCAGGCCTGTTGGCAGAGGACGTGTTCCAATCTTATGAAACCTTGTGAAGTTGCGCGATATAATCTGACCATTATAGGTCATCAGAGATACCATGATCCAAAGTCAATGGTTTGTGGAAAAGCAGCAGTATCGAAGACACTGGAGCCTGAAGCGCTTATGCCCCAACATGAGACAGATGTTGCCAGTGTCAAAAAGCACGTTGCTTCTAACGGATTGGAATTTCAATATATAATCAGACTGACATGGGATATGGCACAATCAATAAGCAGTATTTATCAAGGACAACGGCATGGTTCGCTCTAATGCCCGCCTGTCGAGCCAGGTCCAGATGCACACTTGTCATCATCATAAGAACCAGTTGTTCTGGTTTGACGGGGCTGTTTTGAAAACGGACTACGACCACAGCCTGTGTCTGGACTATCACCCCAGCACCCCGGCAATAATGTATTGACTTTGGAAGAGTTGCTTCGCTACCGCACAGATCCAGCCCAGTCCTTTTCACGAAAAAATAATGCAGCATGTTTGGCTGTTTGGAACCGAGTGACACTTTTGCTCAGGCACTTCAGATTTATACTTTCATGCTTGCCATAGTGGCGACAATCAAAAATTTGTATGGTCTGGTGAGCAGATAAAGGCCAGGAACATCTGGGAGCAGGGAGCAAGAGGTCAGACCCCTCAGCATCTAGCGCAGAACTATGAAGCATCTTCGATCAATATGTGAATGTATATCAATGTGGCCTCTGAAGCAACCACCATCCTGGAAGATTTTCGGTTGTGCCAGGGGGCTCAAGCGTAAGACCTTTTGCGTCATAGCTCCAGCGGCAAAAGTCACTGTTAAATCTGTTAGAACAAGCATACCAATAAGATCCAATAAGTATCAATAAGCAGACACCTATCCTTCACCATTGTTCATATTGGACTTTGCTAACATGGCTGACAATTCCATTTCTGTCTTCCCCGGTTTGTAACCTGCAATCATGTACCGAACCTGGTGGTTCTTTCTACAAACGAAGTAGGGTTTTAAGTTATAGCTACAATTCAGTTCCGGGGTTTATAAACTACTTAACAAGTAGGATGAACCACCAAACAACATATCAAACTGGCATCATTGCTGCTGTGGCATCAATGGTTCTGATCCGTGGCTGTTTTTGAAGGACGCATCTTAATAAATCCGCCCGCGCCGAAGGTCCCGAGGCGTGATAGTTTAGGAGCGGAGCCGATCGATTCGAGCAATCCTCTGTTCACTGGTGGAGCTGGCGGTGGGGGGCTCATTTTCAGGTTCGACCCACCGCCAAAAAGATGTTTCTGGCTGTGGCAATTTGCGATTTTTGCGTATCGCTACAACATCGCCCAAATTCCCGATTCCGACCCTATAAGTGGCCGCAACAAAGGCTCAACTTCCCAACTTGGATCCAACATGGCGCAACGTGGCCACTTGAGTTCCACATGACATTGCCAGCTCAAAAAACGTGTTTCACTGGTATTTTCCATGTTTTTGTGGCAGCCACGAAGCTGCACGTTGAGCAATGTTCCCTATGATGACCCAACTTGGTGCGAAGCTGCCACCAAACGGCTCCAAGTTGCGCCATTGGATGGACAGCATGGCTTCGACTTGGGCCCATCTGGGTCGATTTGGGCTTACAGCCCAACATGACCAATGACATCCAAAGACCAATTGGCTCCAACTTGGGCCTCTTTGGGGGCAGCCCGGGCCCGAGCTAGGCCGAACCAGAGTGAATTTGCAGAACCAATGCGACACGCTGAAAACGTGCGTTTTAACTGCTATTAATTTCCAACGCTGTTTTACTTTGATGGGCGGGTCGTGCTCGGTCGTGTTCCTCACGTTGGGCTTGTCTCGGGCCCAACTTACCATGCTGCGCATGTTAAACCCAACTTGCATCCAAACATGCCCAAGGTGCGCCATGTTGGACCCCAGTTAGGTTGAAGCTGGGCCCAAGTTGGAGCCAAGTGGCCAGAGTTCGGCGCAAGTTTGGGACCCAGGTCGGCTCGTGTTCAACCATGGCCCCGTGTTCTTCACCTCCCCATGCAACTACCATACTAAACCTTCGAAAAGTCGTCCCTGATCTACGTAATTTCCATGCAATTATAGGGTGCAGGCGGTGCGCGAAGCGACTCGAATATATCAAAGGTGCTGACATCCATTGTTGTTGTGATCGACTGAACTAGTCCGGCCTAATTCTTGGAATCATTGTTACGCGGATGTTGAAGTATGTAGTTTTCTGTAGATCCTTGTAGTATGTAGTTGTGGCATGGTTTGAATTCGATGATCGTGATGCAGCTCTGATGCTAGTTGCAGAGGCGCTAGGTGCATAATTTATGTTTATTGTCACACATGACTGCATGACACGTTGCAACCAATCATTCGCTTAGACTCTCAGTCACTCGTATACTCGTACTTGGTGTCCCGTTCATTATTTTTGATTGAATTGCTTATTCGAGTATCTTCGACTATCGAAAACTTCAGTGGTTCCTTGAGCGTACCCAATCAGAATCACTTGCTTTTGTCACAAATCATTTAAAAACCGCCATAAATCGTCAGCCATTTAATTTGCTCAGTCGTCCAAAAATCAACCCTGCACTCGTTTTCACAGTTGAAGGTTCATGCGTTCGTACAAGCATGTGCCGTCATTACTCCAGTCACTCAATTCCTTCACCTGTCATGCACGCATGCATTCAAACAGACGCGGACACTGGGACTCATAGTCCTTGCAGGCTTCCCTTTCCTTACTTGCACAGATTAGTACGGTATGATTCATTGTTTCCTACTTTTGTATGGTCGTCGGGGTGTAGTGGCATGCTACCCTTTCAACTATATATATATATACATATATAATCATATATATATATATGTTTGATTGGTGTTTCTTGTGCGAACCATCAGACACGTGTGACTGCAGGTAGTACACGACATGTCCAAATGTTGGTACTGGCAGTCCAGTGACAACAACGTTTTCGGTGCTGACTGTGGCTTAGGCAGCAAAGGGTGAGTTTAAAGCTGGCAGTTTCTTTCTTGTTCAGGCCGTGATCAACCTTCATCAAGCAACAACAAATCGTTAAAACACTGTCCGGGAACCAACCCGGTACTGCAAAGTATGATGTGACATGATATTCAATGGACTCATGTGTCCAGCCACGGGCTACACACAGAGAGAGAGAGAGAACTCAGGGGCCGTTTGGGATGGGCTGTTGGCGTTTGGCCCTTCCTGGGATGATATTGAAATCTTGTCAGGGCGCGCAAATTTGCAGGCATTTTCAAATTTTCCTGTCACTGCCCTAGTAAGAGACCTTTTGTCTAATCTTTAGCCGAGAGACCGAAACAAATCTGTTGGTGTTGGCCTTGAATTTCAGCCATTTCTCCCGCTCATCAAAGCTCAGTTTAGTAAGGGCAGCGCGCCTTTGCAGACCAAGGCTCTTCTAATGACGACCAAAAGTTCTTTTTCGATACGCCATATCACAAGGCTCAGCGGGAATGCTGCCCGAGCGAGAGGGGCTGAAGTTGCTACAGGATGGTCGACTTGGTAGATTCATTTCAATTGATACCCTTGGTCACCATGTTCATTGCGGTGGTTGTTACACAGAGGCAAACCTTGATGCTTCGTTCTTAATGGGTGCCCCCTGGAAGACAACTGGAAACCGTACACTTGAGGGATCATCTATACTCTTCACAAGTGCCCATTTGTGCCCGTTTGTGCCCGTTTGTCCTGTCTTGGCCCATCTGTTGTTCATGTTTTGACCTATGTTGTCACCTGCTTGCAACACCATGGTTTTGCTCATCGAGTCAATGTCAGACTCTCAGGCTACCATGTTCGCCGGCTTTTGAGGGGAAAATCAACAAACTTTGAGTTGAAACAAGAATTCAAGGGAAAGATTTTGGGAATTTCCTTGCGTGCAATTTTGTGATGAGACATTTCCTGTGTTTATATGTATATAGAGAGAGAGAGAGGGAAAGAGATTTTGATGTAGGTATAGATATAGATTTAATATATAGATTTAGACATATAATTACACATGTATGTGTGTAAGTTTGTGTTTATTTATATATATAATCTTTGAAAAAAAAACATCATTATTATGTATACAAGTATATGTATTGACCAAAGGAAGCAAAGAAAGTATTATTAGTTCAGGAACTGAGTTACGGACGAATGTCCATGGTCAGTCTTTAACCATTGTGTCCACCACAGAGGTAGAAACACCAGCTGGCAAGTGGAAACAGTAACAGCAGGTCACATGAAGTAACAGGCCCGGAGCTTGTGAATTTGCTTGTGAAAAAGCGGAAGTGGGGTCACTAAAGGAGGGTCTGTGTTTCTGCGCTTTCGGGGTTCGCGAGAGCTCGATTCTGTTCCCTCATCCTTACGTTGGGGCTGCTTTTGGGAGATGAGGTTAGGAGAATGCGCAGGAGGCTGCAGCGAGAGCTCGATTAGTAATAGCCTAAAAACCACAGCCGAAGCTTCAGACCAGTCCCGGATTTGTGCGTGGGCAATTTCAGGTCCGACTTGATGGCGTGTCTGTATGACGAAACTCAGTGGCACGGCTGCGCGCAAGAAAGAATTAGTGATGCTGCGACGCTCATGCTTCGCAGGATTGCAGCCGGAGGTTGCTAAACGAATTGCGACAGCTGCGACAAAGCCAGTTTTTGAATGGTTTTGGGCATATGCCACTCCCGTGCCATAAGGGATTGCAGCTGGTGGCTGCAAAACGCATTGTCCTGGCCGCGCGAAGAGAAGAATTGAGTCACAGAAGCTACAGCTACAGAAGATGTAGCGCAGAGAAGAAGCAGCTGGGAGGGGCTCAGGGCAGAAGCAGGTCAGAGAAGAAGTGGCTGAGAGAAGAGGTGCCTCAGCGAAGAGGTAGCTCAGCGAAAAGGTGCCTCAGTGAGCAAATAGCGCAAGGGACTAATGGCTTAGAGAAGACTTGGCTTAGCAAATGGGTAGCTTGACGAATCACAGTCCTTCATATGTCCGTTCGTTCACTCATGCATAATACTGTCAATCAGTCAATCTGTCAGTCAGTCATGCAGTCAGTCGCTCACTCACTCACTCGCTCACTCACTCACTCACTTACTCACTCACTCACTCAGCCATTAATTCGTTCGTTCGTTCATTCGTTCATTCGTTCATTCCTTCATTCGTTCATTCGTTCATTCGTTCATTCGTTCATCCGTTCATCCGTTCATTCGTTCATTCGTTCATTCGTTCAGCCGTTCATTCGCTCATTCACTCATTCGTTCATTCATCCGTTCATTCGTTTGTTCTTTCGTTGTTTGTTCGTTTGTTCATTCGTTCATTCGTTCATCCGTTCATTCGCTCATTCGCTCATTCTTTCATTCATTCATTCATTCGTTCGTTCGTTCGTTCGTTCTTTCGTTCGTTTGTTCGTTCACTCATTTGCTGCTGAACTCATTGGTTGGTTCATTCAATCCTTGAATCACTAGCTCAATGTTTCATTAATTCGTTAATTTACTTTTTTATTGATTGATCATTTATGTGTTTAATCATTGCTTTTCTTTCAACCAAATATTCAACCAGTCGTTCAGTCACACATTCACTCGTCATTCTTTCAGTCATTCATTCATTCGCTCGTTCCTTCATTCCTTCATTCGCTTATTCACCCACTCACTCTTTCATTCACTCATTCGCGCAGTCATTCGTACATTCATGCTTTCATGGCAGTGATTTCGTTGCATTCCATTGGCATCTCAACCACCATTTGCGGTTCGATGGGTTCACTTCACAACCTGACTCTTTCATTACTTCTGCATCTCAGAGACATTCCTACAGGCCATTGCTTTCCTATAGTTACGGCCCTGCTTTGAAAGAGAGCAGGACGCTGTGGGAGTGCACTTTTTTATTGTTTTTCAAAACTGTAATGACATTAAAGCGTAAGCTACAGATGAAGCTGTGCTCATGTTTGCTAGAGAGAATGTATTGCTTGAAGAAGTGTCCAGGTGTTCACTCTACCTTAGAAAAATGCAACTACATTGTCCCTTCAAAACACAATTTCTGCAGAATATGCTAGATGACTTCAACATAATTACAACATCCCCATACCTGCCAACAAATGCAGTATTCAAAACAAACATATCCTTCTGAAAAGAGTAACCTTGCTTTGGGGCAATGCAGTGTGTTTTTGCAGGGACAATATCCAAACAAAATATGAAGTATTCCTTGAAAAGTTGCACCATGCCCTTTGAAGGAGTGCAGTGTGCATTTCCAGATGTCTAACCCTCCTTTCAAAGGAGCAGTACCCCTTTTGGAAAAGTCGATATTTCTGCTTGATATATGCAGTATTATTGACATGGGGCATCCCTTTCAAAAGCGCAATATGTTTGAAATTGTGAGCACTACCATATGTTCAAACAATGTTTGATTGTCTTAAGTCTTAAGATTTAAAGATGCACATTCTTAAAATTACAATATTTTTCAAGAGGGGAGCTGCCTACACCAAAGGGCGTTATTCCCAAAATATGGTGCGTTGTCTTGGAAGAATATCACATTATGCATTCAGAAAAATGATGTGCAATTGTGAAAGACATATCTTACGTGCTCACATGTACCATGTGGTCTTCATTTAAGAAAATATATTGTGAAAAGGGCATTGCATGTGCCAGAGGGTTCATGTTTGACATAGAAGTAGGCCAAGACATGACCTACTTCAATGGGATGCTCTACCGGGCTCTACCATTTTATAAAAGAAATGCACTTGTTGAAGGAAGCACTCACTTCAAACAGATGCATCACTCCTTTTCAAGGGTATTTTCCAAAGTGTTTGAACATGTGCCAAGAATGTCAATATCAAAATCATTTCTACGCATTCATTGGCCGCCTATGTTTTTGCATTTGTTCAACACCGTTTTTGAAAGATTACATAAACAGACAAAATTGCCTAATTTGTGTCCCAAGCCCCCCAAGCTTCCTCCAGTGATACCTGCATTTTGCCATAGTTTTTTTACATTGTTTTCTAATGGAACCACAGGCCCAAAGCAAATAATAAAATCAACCAAAAACACGTTTGCAACCCCTAAAGTGGGAGAACTGGCAAAGAGTTAGGTCTAGGTCCTTAGCCCTTCAAAAAATCAACAACGAACCAGAAAACAAGAAACCAAAAAAACAAGAAACAAAAAAAAAAACAAGATTGCACACCCCAAGGGGGGGAGTAGTGGCAGAGAGTTGGGTCTTGTCATTTTGTTTGTTTTGTTTTTTTGGTTTCTTGTTTTTTTGGTTTTTGTTTTGATTTTGGTTTCGTTTAGTCATTGCAGAAAAACCAAGCAGAAATTGTCAATGGTTGCAAAACAGTGAAAGAACCATGGCACATGTGCAGTGTCAGTGGTTGCAGAATGCAGTGAAAAACCGCACTCCCAGGGTGTCCCCTTCTGTTTTGAAACTTCCGCCCCAGCACGGCCAGGGGCCAGACACGATTGGTAAGATTCAGTCGGGGGTGCTTCTGCGTTTGGTGATGTTTTGATTGTTCTGCATGTTTTTTTGTTTTGTGCTGCGCCACTGTATACCGGATGATGGAGGGACGGCTGGGGCGTCGTGTCGGGTTTCCTCTGGTTGCGCAAGCACGTAGTTATTTACTTCATACATTTGACATGGGGTCAGTCTAAGTTGCTTGCAAGGGATGGAAATGTGTGGAGCCCGGTGCATAGGTTTGTAGTTTGTGGCCTTGAAGACGAGAGGAGTTCGAACCCTAGAGGCACATTGACAAACGGTTCATACATACGGCTATATACATGAATTTTCTATGTTGACGGTCTAGTTTTGGAGATAGTTTACCAAAGAATTATATACTGTCAAACGCTGTTTTGGGTTCGATCCAAGTTGAAACCCACCGCTCGCAGTGCCTGCAGGGGAAGAGGTTGCAATCTGAAGCAAGTTCTGATTGCATGGATGCACACAGTGGAAACGCCTACACTGTAGGTTGTCATGATGGCAGTGCCTTGGTTTGCACGGTGGAATGGTGGAATGTTGGCAGATTGGGTGAAGAAAATATTCAAAAAATCAAATTGGACACATGGTGTTTTTCGGTGTGAGGTACTCTGTGGGAGAGAGGATGCCACAATGATTATAATACGGTAGTTATTACACAAACCAATGAGAAATATGGTGCTTTTCACGTTGGCCTGCATTCTACCGACCCTTACGGATATGTAATTTGCTTCATGGTTTTCATTCCGCAGCATGCAGAGCCTATGAAGTGCATCTTTTGCACAATCTAGCCACAGACTGACTTGCCACGACCTGAAACTCTAAAACGCACAAGGATGCACTATGGAAGCAATGTACTGAACCCTTCAGTGCCCCGACATTCAACACTCAAAGGCACAATAGAACACATCAAAAGAAATGAATGAAGTACCGTCATAACAAGAAGGCACATGTCACCGGGTATCACACACTCGACAAACACGTAGGGTTGAGCATTTTTGAAAAGTCTGGGTAAGGTTGTCGACCTTAAAAACTGCATTTCTTTTTGGTGACCTTTCGCAATTCAACAGAACATGAAGCCAACAAAGCAAACGGTTTTGAAGCATCTGGGCATTTTCTTAGAAGCATTCAGCGCAACCTGGTTGCTGAATGTAGTTGCCCCTGCAGGGGTGAACTCGGTGATCATTGCCAAGTGGAAGGAATGGCTACGAAAGAAACTTCCAGACACATCCATTGTAGTTCTCAGGGTTTTCCGTCTATTCTTCCGCGGCTAAGGCTGGCAGCGATGGTATTTTGAGGGCGAGCAGATAAAAGTGGAGGGAAATGCCAACAAGTGCTTGGATTACAACCTGGGAGCAGGCCGGAAGCTGACCTGTTCACACTTTGCGATAACAGATTCACCTTCGATGCGGTCTCATAGATATCTCCTAAGAAACAGTGACTATCAATGGCTTCAGTCTGCAATGCTGTCCCTGTTTTGACATGGCATGGGGTTCGAAAAATATTTGAGGCAATAAGCCCAAAGAATATCCCCGACAGCAACAACCAAAGGAAAAAGTCACCAAATATTTGTTGCAATCATATTTGAGAGCTGCCTGAGGCAAGCCTTTGATTGTCTATCCTGTCAGTTCGGCAGTTCAGGAAGTTATTTGCAGCTCTCTTAACTCAGTTTTCAAACGTGCGCGTTTGAACAGCAGTGGCCCCATACAAAGCTTGAATAGTGGGCATGACATCGTTGGAACAAAATAGACTTTGCTTGGAACCCAATGCCTGGACACCTTGCTTGCAAATCTGTTCCTGGGAGCTTTGCTTGGGAACCCTTCCTTGGTAACGACGCTTGGGAGCCTGTTCTTGGGAACCTGTTCCTGGAAACCTGTTCTTGGAAACCCTGCTTGGGAACCTATTCCAGGCAGTTGGCTTGGAAACCTTTCCTGTTCGCGGCAACCTTGCTTGCGAACCTGTTCCTGGAACCCTTGCTGGGGAACCTGTTCTTGAAAACCTTGCTTGGAATGGTAACCTTGCTTGGGAACTGGTTCCTCAAAACCTTGCTTAGACATCTGTTCTTGGGAACCTTGCTTGCGAACCTGTTCTTGGCAACCTTGCTTGGAAACCTGTTCTTGGAACCCTTGCTTGGCAGCCTGTTCTTGGAAACCTTGCTTGGGAACCTGTTCTTGGAACCCTTGCTTTGGAACCTGTTCTTGGGAACCTGTTCCTGGGAACCTGTTCTTGGTAACCTTGCGTGGGAACTTGTTCTAGGGAGCCTTACTTGGAAACCTTGCTTGGGAACACGTTTCCTGCGAACCTTGCTTGGGAACCTGTTCTTGGGAACCTTTAGGAACCTGTTCCTGGGAACCTAGCTTGGAAAGCTGTTCTTGGGAACCTTTAAAAATCTTTGGGAACTTCTAGGAGCCTTAGGAGCCTGTTCTTGGGAACCTTGCTTTGGGAACCTTGCTTGGGCTCCTTGGGAACCTTGCTTGGGAACCTTGCTTGGGCTCCTTGGGAACCTTGCTTGGGCACCTGTTTCCTGGAAACGGTGTTTGGAATGCTGTTCTTGGGAACCTTTGGGAACCTTGCTTGGGAACCTTGCTTGGAACCCTTTGGCAACCTGTTCTTGGAACCCTTGCTTGGGAACCTGTTCCTGAAAACCTTGCTTACAGACTAGAGATCTGTTCTTGGGAACCTTGCTTGGCAACCTGTTCTTGGAACCCTTGCTTGGGAACATGTTCTTGGGAACCTGTTCCTGGGAAACTGTTCTTGGTAACCTTGCTTGGCAGCCTGCTCTAGGGAACTCCATGTTTCCTGGGAACCTTTCTTGGGAACCTTTAGGAACCTGTTTTTGGGAGCCTTGCTTGTTAACATTGCTGGGTAACCTTGCTTGGGAACCTGTTTCCTGGGAACCTTGCTTGGGAGCCTGTTCTTTGGGAACCTTTCGGAACTTATTTCTGGGAACCTTGCTTGGGAACCTATTCCTGATATTTGGGAACCTTGCTAAACCATGTTTCATGGGAATCTTGCTTGGGAACCTGTTCTTGGAAACCTTCGGGAACCTGTTCCTGGGAACCTTGGGAATCTTGCTTGGGAACCCTTGTTTGGCAGCATGTTCCTGAAAGCCTTGCTTAGAGATCTGTTCTTGGGAACCTGTTCTTGGTAACCTTGCTTGGGAACCTGTTCCTGGGAACCTTGCTCCGGAACCTTTCTTGGGAACCTTGCTTGGGGGCTGTTTCCTGGGAATTTTGTTTGGGAACCCATGGGAACCTGTTCCTCGGAACCTTTTGAACCTTTTCTTGGATCCCTTGCTTGGGAACCTTCCTGTTCTTGGGAGCCTTTCAGAATCAATGGGAACCTGTTCCTGGCAACCTTGCTTTGGGAACCTTTGGAACCTTGCTTGCGCTCCTTGGGAACCTTGCTTGGGAACCTTGCTTGGGGACCTTGCTTGGGAACCTGTTTGGTAGGAACCTTGCTTGGAAACCTGTTTTTGGGAACCTTTTGGGACCTTGCTTGGGAAGCTTGCTTGGGAAGCTTGCTTGGGAAGCTTGCTTGGGAATTGCTTTGGAATTGCTTGGGAACCTTGCTCGGGAACCTTGCTTTAGAACCTTGCTTTAGAACCTTGCTTTAGAACCTTGCTTCGGAACCTGTTCCTTTGGAAATCCGGATTTTGCCTGCTCCGACCTGCTCCGAAATTTTTACTATGGCTGAAGACCCCAAGCTTACGCTGTTGGGGAATATAAGGCATCAACAAGAAGTTAAAACATTAATGATCAATATATATTCGAAGTATATTTGAAGTATCAAAAACAAATAATTATGATTATGAGTAATTATGCATGTTTCCTGCGCTCGTGCAGTGTTTGGCCCTTTTCAAATCTTGTGGTTTTTGAATCTCCCGGTCCTGTAGTCCTTTGGTCCCTTGGTCCTCTTGGTTCTTTCGTCCTTTGGTGACTCTGGCGCTTTAAATGTGAAATCAGACCCTGCAAAAAACAACATGTAACTTGTTCAGTTTACATTTTTGTTGGGGTAAGAAAGGGCTATGAGAATCTTACAGCCACAGACTGAGTCCGGACCAAGGAATTATGTTTTCATTTTTTCGTTTCGTCTTTCATGTTTTTCCACTGTTTCATATCATTCTCCGACCATGTGAAATTGTCATGTTCATTTTTTCATTCTCCAATCATGTGAAAGTTTCATTCTCATTTGTTTATCGTGTTTCCTTCATGTGCAGTTAATATCAATTAATTATCATGTTCATATGTGCTCCTTTTTGCATTTTGCCATCATGTACTTGTCATTCAGCATCGAAAATGAATCGATGCAAAATCAGAAACGGAAAAGATAATATATTATATATTTACCAAATGACAAATTAAGTGAAAACGAAGAAAGAAACGACAGCAAAAGTGAAGAACAAGGAAAACAAACATATACCACCACACAAAAAATGAGAACAAAAACGAAAATGAAAACAAACACGCAAAAAACATGAAAATAAAAAAGGAAACGAAAAACATGAAAATGAAAAATGACATGAAAAAAACGAGAAAAAAAGAAAATGAAAACGAACACGAAATTTGGAAACAAAAAAAACGAAAAAACATGAAAAAACAACGAAAACATAAATGAAAAAAAACGGGAAAAACGAAAAGGGTTCGAGAAGAAACGCCTTTTGATAATTTCCTAAGGTCAATTTTCCCTATGGATCCAATGTTGGGTCTATTTGCTGACATTTGCGGTAAACCTTGTTTTTTGACGTCTGTAGGCATTATTTGACGTCCGTAGCCAAAATTTGGCAACATTTGCGGTAACCATAATTTTACCGTAAAATGCTGTGAGCACAAGCGAAAAGTGGCCGGGACCCATAAAAGATGAGCAGTCAATCCTGAACAGATCACGGTTTATCATTGTCACGGTATTTCCGACAAATGTCATAATTATTTTAAGTGGCAAAAAAGATAATTCATCACGATTTGTCACGATTTTGAACTGCATATGGCCATGATCAACTCGCATGCGCATCTTCCAAATAGAGGATGCCTGCGGTTTTTTCTCGATTTCCGGCAAATGTAACCGAAATCAAGCGTTAACGGAGATGTAGCTGTATTTTGACTACATTTCTATTTTTGATCTATAAGCCGACATCGATCCTCAGGGTTTGAAGGCAAAGGAGGAAAAATAGTCAAAACGAAAAAACGAAAAATAAACGAAAAAAACAAAACAAAAAGAAAAGGGTTCGAGAAAAAGCGTCTTTGATAATTTCCAAGGATTTGGAAGGCAAAGGAGGAAAAATAGCCAAAACAAAAAAAACAACGAAAAAACACGAAAAGGGTTCGAGAAAAAGCTCCTTTTGACAATTTCCAAGGTCAATTTTGAAGGCAAAGGAGGAAAAATAGCCAAAATGAAAAAAAAAACGAAAAGGGTTCGAGAAAAAGCACCTTTTTGACAATTTCAAAGTCAATTTTGAAAGCAAAGGAGGAAAAATATATAAAGGGAAAAAAAAAACGAAAAGGGTTCGAGAAAAAGCTCCTTTTGACAAATGAGGGAAAATAGCCAAAACGAAAAAAAACGAAACGGGTTCGAGAAAAAGCGCCTTTTGACAATTTCCAAGGTCAATTTTGAAGGCAATGAGGAAAAATAGCCAACATGAAAATAAACGAAAAAAAACGAAAAGGGTTTGAGAAAAAGTTCCTATTGACAATTTCCAAGGTCAATTTTCAAGGCAAAGGAAGGAGACATAGCCAAAACGAATCAAAACGATACAAAAACGAAAAAAACCGACAAGATTCGAGAAAAAACTCCTTTTGATAATTCCCAAGGACAATTTTCAAGGCAAAGGAAGGAAAAATAGCCAAAACAATACAGAAACGAAACAAAATGAAAGAAAGGAAAAGGATTCGAGAAAAAACTCCTGGTGGCAATTCCCAAGACCAAGGACCATTTTCGAAGCAAAGGAAAGAACAATGAAAATGCCAAAGGGAGGAAAAACAGGAATGAAAAAACAATGAAAACTTAACGGGGATTAAAAAAAATGGAATGATAATTTTCAATCCAAAAAATGATGATCATAATGGAAAAATGAAAAGAACATGATTTCCAGTCCCTGGCTGGCTGAGATGAACATAAAGAAAGGGAATAAATAAGAAATGTAACTTTTTGATACTGTTTGATTTTACATTTTTTCAAGCGAAGAAAGAAACATGTAATTTTTTGAATTTAAATTTGTTTGAAAAAACATGGAGAAAAACAAATGTAACTTATCGAATTTCAAAAATGTAAAGAATGCAAAAAAATTGAGTGGCGGGTTACGATTTTTGAAAATGTATAACAGATGAAAAAATGCGACTGGCAAATCGCCGTTTTTTGAAAACTTGAAAAAAACGAAACAACAAAACGGAAACTGGTAAAAGAAACAATGCAAATTCGAACCAAAAAAATGAAAAAAAAAAAAGGTAAAAACTGTTTAAAAAATGCGACCGGCGAACCGCAATTTTTGAACATGGCAAAAAAAAAAGTCAAAGAATGCGCATGGCAGATCGCACTTTTAGAAAATGCAAAAAAGTAAATGTATGTAAATGTTATTTTCAATTTTCCGTATTTTCTGATTTTTTAGACTTACCTTTTTGTTGTTTTTTTGCCACATAAAAAATATAGTCTTAGATTTATACATTTTATTTACATTTGTTCAGTTCACATGAAAAGTTACATTTTCAGATGTGCAGCATTGTTTTTGTTTTCAGTTCACATCAAAAGTGACATTGTCAGTTTTTATTTTTCGTAATTTTAATATGTCTATTTTCTTAATAAGTTTTCAGGCTCTAGCAGATTTAGGGCATTCCAAAAATAAACTTGAATTAGACCAACTGTTACCAAAAAAACTAAACCAACCCTAAATAGCCGAACCCCTACAGCAACCCTGAAAAAAACCCTAAACCAAGCCTAAGTAAGTCTAAAACGAACCCTAAACCAATCCTGAATCAACCCTAAACTAACCCTTGACCAACCCCCAAAATCACTTTAAACAATCCGTAAATAAACCCGGCCTAAAACCTACCTAAGGCAACCTTGGTTAAAAGTTTGCAAACGAAACCTAAATCAACCTTAAACCAATCTCAAATAACCCCTAAACCAACCCTAAATATCCCCTGAAGACACCATAAACCAACCCACCCGAAATGACACCTAAACAAACCACCGACTAACCCTAAATAAATCCGAAGCCAACCCGAAATAAACCACAAACCAACCCTACGTGAATCCTGAACCAATGCCAAACCCAACCCTAAACTTACCCTGAACCAACCCTAAAGAAACCTTGAGCAAGGCCGACATAAACCCGACAGAAACCTGAAACAACACCTACATCAAGCCCAACCAGCCCTAAACAATCCGCAAACTAAACCAGCCTTGAATAACCCTAAAAATTAGAGAACACCTAAGCAAACCCCAAACTAACCTTAAAGGATTTCTAAATGATCCCTAACTGAACCATAGTAAGATTTTAAACGAACTTGAAGTAGACACCAAACCAAGTTTCAATCACCCCTAAACCACCCTTAAATTTCAAACCGATCTTAAATAAACCCCAAACATCCTTGAAATAACCCACACACCAACCCTGTATACTGTAACCCTCAAATAATTTTTGAACCAGCCCTGAATAACCCCTAAACCAATCTGAAAAACCCTCAATAACCTGAGCCAACTTTAAATTAAACCAACCATCGAAAATGAGAGGTTCGAACTCCAAAGGGTCGCAAATACTGTCGCAACGGCAGCGTCGAGCTCTAAAATGCTCACAAGACGCTAATAGAACATGCGAATGCATGCGAGTGCATGATTTCCCGGTCCAATGTCCTGCAAAGACTTCACGGGCGAGAGGTTCCACTTCCAAAACGCTACAAATACCACATAAACGTTCGGTTTCGCTTCCAAACGGTTGCAAGGGCCATAGAGAACGAGGGGCTGCAATGGATTATTTTTTGAACGCAACAGATATTTACTTGTTGATCCCCAAAGCAAAAAAATGTTTCGTCCTAATTAGTGTGAGGCCCCCCCCACCACCCCCCTCAACAACAGCTATACCCTCTTTAGAGTTGTGCGCAAAAAAGGCGGTTCCCCAGGAAAAACAAAATCTACACTTTAGTAAGCAGTTCAATTGGCTACAATTAAAATCTAATTAAAACTTTTTTTGCCGATGAACTTGTGATATTTGTAGCATTTGTAGTACTTGTAGTAAGTGGGGTTCAGCATGTTGATTGTGTTACCTTTTCCACCTTAAATTCTTTCTTAATGAAACATGCAGTAAGAGAAGGAGAAAGACAAGAGAAAGGGAACGAGAGAAAGAGAGAGATAGGAAGAGGAAGAGAGAGGAAGAGCAAGAGAAGGAGAAAGAGAAAGAGAAAGGAAAAGAGAAAGAGAAAGAGAAAGGGAAAGAGAAAGAGACAGAGAAAGAGAAAGAGAAAGAAAAGGTTGCTTTTGTAAAAGGCTTTTCTTTCTTCCCTTGGCTCCAGGATCAGCTCTGGAAAAGTTTGCTGCAATTGTGAGCCCTGAGAACAAACCTACTAAAGTGAATTGGACCCTCTCATGGCCCAGTGCCTTTGAAATTTTGTGGAAAAACTGTTCTTAAATCAGGGTTTAAAAAACGATTTGATTCTTTTGGGAAAGGTTTCGACTTTGAATTTGGCAATTGCTTTTGGGAATGGCCTACCTTTCTTCTCTTGGCTCCAGGATCAGCTTTGGAAAAGTTTGCTGCAATTGTGAGCCCTGAGAACAAACCTATTAAAGTGAATTGGACCCTCTCATGGCCCAGTGCCTTTGAAATTTTGTGGAAAAATTGTTTTTAAATAAGGGTTTAAATAAGCGATCTGATTCTTTTGGGAAAGGTTTCGACTTTGAATTTGGCCATTGCTTTTGTAAAAGGCTTTTCTTTCTTCCCTTGGCTCCAGGATCAGCTCTGGAAAAGTTTGCTGCATTTGTGAGCCCTGAGAACAAACTTATTAAGGTGAATTGGACCCTCTCATGGCCCAGTGCCTTTGAAATTTTGTGGAAAAACTGTTCTTAAATCAGGGTTTAAAAAACGATTTGATTCTTTTGGGAAAGGTTTCGACTTTGAATTTGGCAATTGCTTTTGTAAAAGCCCTACCTTTCTTCTCTTGGCTCCAAGATCAGCTTTGGAAAAGTTTGCTGCATTTGTGAGCCCTGAGAACAAACTTATTAAGGTGAATTGGACCTTCTCATGGCCCAGTGCCGTTGAAGTTTTGTGTGTTTTTTTTTTAAATAAGGGTTTGATAAGCGGTCTGTGTCTTCTGGGAAAGGTTTCGACTTTGAATTTGGCAATTGCTTTTGGAAAAGGCCTACCTTTCTTCTCCTGCCTCTTTTGGGAAAGGCAGACAAACATGATTATTTCTAGATTTGTTTTTCCACTCAAACATGTTTTGTTTAAAAAAATTGGTCTGCCAAAAATTCTTGCCACAATGGTGAACCTTCCAAACATTGTTGGGGCAATGAAGAAATTGCCTTTTTGGCACAATAGCGAACCTAGCTACTAATCAGGATACAACATTACTGTTTGATGCCTTAAATATTCGTGTTTGTTTCTTCACGTTTTTCACGCTGTCACAGGCGCACTTTGGGCTAAAAGTCGAATGATACCAGAATGATGTCAATTATATGTAAGTTCTTGTAGAAGCCCCACAGTCATCCACAGCCCGGCCCGCACAAAAAAAAAAATGTGACCGGGACACGTGACAAATTTGAGACCAATCGCAATTCTTGACACTACTTACTTACTTGTTTGTTCATGTTTGTTCCTTGTCGCATCCTTTTGCTTGAATTTGTGCTTTTCACAGGACAGACTGAAAACGGCAATGTCTATCTACATGACTGCCACTCAGGATCAAACCAGACACTCTGGCGAATATTAATGACGACCCACTTAGCAGACAGCGTATAGACGGTCAGACCATGTCAGAACAGTCTAGAGACTGTTTGAAAATTGGAAATGTAAACTCAATGTGTGTGTGTGCGCGTCTTACTTGAAAACTTCAATACCCCTGTATTACAAACTATGTTCGCAATAGCCATCTTGGGCAGAATTGGATATCACTAGAAGTCATTAAATAATAGCCACCCCACCAACACCACTCCTTACACCCTGGGCATGCTTGCTGAAGGGCAAGGTTTGGAAGCGTTCACAAGTAAGGCATTGGGACGAGCATGTTCGTTCGCAGGGGACGGTACTTTTGGTGGTTGTAAAAAGTTCGCAAAGCTGTGGGCTGAAATGTGCTGCCCCTTCCTCTTTTGACATCGTTGGGGTAGGGGCTTCTGATGAAATCCTTCTCAAGACCTTCCAGTTTTTTGCGCATTGCCAATCGTGGCTTTTGAGGAAATGGTACTGGGATGGAAAGCTCCTGAAGAGCAGGCCAGTTATTTGCCGGGGAATTGGTCAGAACGAGGGATGCAGCGATGTCTAGTGTGTTGCGCATTGCCAGGTTCATGTCATCCCAGCCTGTGGTTTGCAAGTTTCGCCCCCAATCACACATAATTCACTGCAGTGTTTGGAATTGAGACTAGGCACTCACAGACTCTCGACATGGTATGGCAAGTTCGAAAATGCAGGGAGAGCTTGAATATTTTGCGAAAAAGGATACGGTAGTCAGCATCAAAGTTCTCTTGCAACCAGGAATGACAATCGGTGCTTGGACGTGAACCCTGGTGACAACAATGTCTTTGTTGGTAGTTGCCCAAACGACAACACACAGCATTGGACTCATAGAAGCGACTTGCACAACAGCGGCTTGGTGTGAACATGTTCAAAGTTCAATTACTGTAGTTGGACCGTGGTGCCATGATATGTTTGGGACCATGCAGACGTTCTCCCAATGGTTCCCACTTCTCCAACCTTTTTCACAAAGGCATCAGTGCTGTAGCTACTGTTTGCCCACAGTTTCCCGTGGTACACCTTTACACCCCGCAGACTTCATATGCTGTCACAACATCATATTGGATGAATTTGGAAGAAGGTTGATGCAGGTTCTTTTTGACATGTTTCAGAACTTGACATTAAAACTGATAATACAGCTGCATGCCTTGATGTTTTTTTGCCTGGGAGCAGCGCCAGAGATCGCCAAGAATTAAAATTTCATCGAGTCCGTTCGCATGTTGCGATGACAAAGGTAGGCAGTTGACAGTCGGCGGTGGCAAGTGTTTGCAAGATACTGGAAGCAACGTCGAAGCGACGGGATGTGGGAACACAGCTGGCAGCTTTGCAAAATGGATCAGAATGGCATATGAAGAAAGGAAACAAGTGGGCTTGGTGGGTGCATGTACCATGAAAGGTTTTTTCTTAAGGTGTTTTTCTAGTGGGGAACGTACCCAAGCCTGTAAAGTGTGAGATTCAGACGAACACCTTCAATAATTTAAAGCAGCGGTGGTTTCGACTTCCCCGTCGCTCTTTTTTTTGCCAGCAGCAAAAAACAACAATTACGAAGCAAAGCGAGATTCAAAACTCTGTCCTTTTGTGCCTCCTCAGGGGCCTTCCGATGTCATGTGACTGTCTAGACCCAAAAGCAGACTTCGCTCAGGCCTCATGTGGTACTTCGATGGTGAGCTGCTGAAAACAGAAGCCAACAACAAATGTTTGGACGTCAACATGGGCGATGGCAATCTCTACATGCACAACTGTCACAGTGTCGCGACTGCAGGCGGCTCTTGTTTTTAGATGTTTTTATAGGTTGCTTACTTTTTTTGGGTCGCGCAAAAGATCCTTATCCATTGTTGCTTGTTCTCCAAGAGATGCTGATGCTCACTCCCGTCTTCGGCGGTGGAAGTTTTTGCGGTGAAGACATCAACTTTGCTACAACAGCCCTTCAACATCATCCTTCAACTTGACAGAAAACTTGTTCTTTCGGGATGTATACACATATATCTACTAGGGGCCACCGGGAGCCAGAGACCAGAGACAGCCAGAAAGAGAGAGAGAGAGAGGGAGCCAGAGAGAGGCAGGGAACAAACATCTCCCCACAGATAAACTTACCGGCGTGAAGACTCTGTGCAAAACAGTACCGAAAGGCAGGAGCAGAAAGTTTTGCATTATTGGGATGCTCCTTGAATCCCTTAGATCCTTTCTGACTCAGCAGACCCGAGGTGGAAGCAACCAGAAGTTCTATTTCGATGGGAACCTTATCAAGACGCGCCAGGAGCGTGGGAAGAGGAAATCATGCCAGTGCCGTGCTTTCTGCACAGACTATAGGACAAGCAGTAAACACACAAGCGCAAAATACTTTCAACAGGGTTTAATTCTGAGTACTATTGCCTATATCATGTCCTTCTGATTCACTTGAAATCTTGTCTTGATATTTGAATCTTCGCTGGATGTCTTGGGATACACTCTTGATTTTATTTCGCTTTATTCCTTCTATGTTTGGCCTCCTGCTTGGTGAATTAACTCGCGACTTTATTCTTCTACTCGGCCATATTTGACCTGTGTGGTGCAATTGTGACCAATGTGTTGAATTCTAGGAATCCTTTTTAGCCGTATAATGCCGTATAGCTTTCCTGTGCTTGTTAGCACTTTCATCTCCCGCAATGAAGAGGTGGCAGAAGGTCCAATGGCATCTTTTTAGTTTCCTGATTGTTGGCGCGCCGTGCAGAATGAAATTCTTTCTTGACGGCTTTCCTTCTTGGGCATGATTTTTGTACAAGAACGAAACCCCAAATTAATTCTACACTTAAATGCCTCGCCCCTCAAGTGCTGGTCCGTCCCGTCACTTCGTTATACCGAATCGGATTGATATAAAATTTCAAAATCCAATCGTAGGGTTTGATTCTGCGGTGCACAGTATGGAGTGTGTTGGATTGGCATGATTTGAGATGTGGCTCCACAAGTCCTGCCAAATTTGCCCAAGTTATTTATCACGATTCAAAATGGGTGCATGTCCATAAATGAGGGATAATGAGGGTGCCTTCAAATTATACCCAATCAGTCCTTATTAATAACAGGATAAAAAGACGACAATAGATTTCGGCTTGTATTTACAGAACCCTCCGAATGTGCTGGCCAATGGCAGCCTCGAAGATCTCCATTTTTTGGGGGGGGCTTGGTGGGATCGAATTTTTGACGCTGTTGTTCTAGCAGATAAAACAGCGGAAGGAAAAGTTGAAGTCCTTGGCCCGGCTTGCTTGGCAAACATTGGTTTTTGGTGCCTCTGGTTATATCTGTGTCAACTGGTGGAATTAAATCAGGATTTAATTGCATTCACGTGCGCAAATTAAGCTCCTGTCTAGCTCTTGAAACAATATGGCGCCGGATCATCAAACCTCCGCAAACCATGTCTCCAATTAAATCAGGATTTAATTCGTCTTCCGACAGTGCCAGAAGATATTCCGCATGTGGATGGGCTGAATTAAAACGGAAGTTAGTTCCTGCAAACCCTGGAAGGACAGCAGATTTAAATCCTAGCTCAATTCATACCAAATTCAGGATTTATATTATGGATTTATTTAACCGCCTTCGGCATGTTCCGCCGGCCACCATGGAAAGAGCTATCCTGCACAATAGGCTGCAAACAGCCCTTGCACAGGCCCAGCAAGAACATGGTTTTTGTGTAAAACATGGTGTGTGTGGATAACACAGTTTTGTGATGTTTTGTGTAAAACAGATAAAACAGCTCTTTGTGCAAAAGATGGTTTGGACGCAGAAACATTGGTTTTGTTCAAACCACGGTTCAAGTTAAAACCAAAGCATGTGTGTAAACCAGGGTTTTGGAAAAGGCCATATTGAAAACGGCTTTGGAAAAGGCCATATTTAGAAAGGTTATGTGTGTAAAAGGTGTTCGGCACAAAAGCCAGTGGATCAAGTATTGGATATTAGAAGCGACGGAGCAAACCGATGGATGGCAAACACAACAAAAAAACGGAAACAACCATCGAAATGACAGCAAGATGTGCAAAACCAAGCCGGTGTTGAGCGAGGCATGGGTAGAGTTGAGCCCAGCACAACGTAAGTAAATGAAGGCGAAACGAAGATGAAGAAGAGCTACGCGGGGAGGGAGGGGGCACGGGGGGGCGGTGGGTTCAAGATAGACGAAGCAAAAATCCGCGCCGAGGGGAAAGTTTTGACAAGACAAAGACAGAACAGACAGTACAACTACGAACAAGCAAGATCCACAAGACACGCCGGCAGGCCGGCGGATTCTCTTCCCCAGACTAGTTGATGTTGTGAGATTTGCCAGGTGTGTATTTGTGTGTGAGTCTGCAAAAAGATATTATTTTTATATATATTTATATAGACATATGTATGATGATATATATATAATTTATTATATATATATAATATATAATTATTATATATATATATATGTATAATATAATTATTATATATGGTGATCGATCTAAAGGTCCTTGTAAGGAGTTTTAATTGCGAAAGCCGTGCATGTTATGTTGGAAACCCTCGCAAAAGTTTTTTTTTCGAGTTCGCGAAAGTAAAATGTTATTTCGCGAAAGTTGGGTATTATAATCATTATATTTAAAGGGCTGCCACCCACTGCCGCCCGGGGTCCGGCAGGAGAAGGGCACCAGAGAATGCGAGTAGCAGTAGCCAAGTTTCCAAAGGTGAGGCTTTGCGAGAGCCAAACACCAAGGCCCCTGGTCTTCGCTTTTCCTTCAGTGCACCCCTGCTGATGGCCGGGGTCTGTGAATAGGGATATTTTCGCGAAAGTTATGCGAAAGAGCGGGCGAAAGTCAAAGTGCATGTTGAAGGGGGTGGGCCAGTAAACTCTGCAAAAAAAATCTGTCCTGAGAAGGGATTCCGTGATGCTAGCTGCATGTTTAAAAGGCTACCAAGAAGTGATCCGTGATTCTCTGGCGTAATTTGGCAGGTGGTGAACGAATCTTCATAAGAGGTGTTGTTGGCCAACATGGGCCCCGCGAAAGATAAACATGGAGTTCGCGAAAGTTTCGCGAAAGTAAAATGTTTATTCGCGAAGAATGGCCGTTCCGGGATAAAGGAATTTTGATCAACAACCATATATATAATATAATTATTATATATATATATATACAAAATATGATTTGACATGTATATACATGTATCTGTATGTATTGTGTATACCAGCAATTGCGCACACCTCTGGACCTGTATTTTTTATGATGGCACGTTGCTGGTTAGCGGCGCATCGTTTAGTCACTTGAGCGTAGCTGCCGTTTATTTTCTGAATAAACAATAAAATTAGAACTTATCATTTACTGAAAGCTTGACCTGTCATACATCATTTTGGACAAACGACTGTAGGTTTGCCCCTAGAAGTCCCTCAAGCACATGCTGCATGGAGTAGACTTGAGATCTTTCGAAGGCCATTATGCATTGGAACTCCATAGATTTCAATTTAACCTTACTTGCAAATTGCAATTTGCCATCACCCTTGGAAAAAAAAGGTTTCCGGATCATCTTTCGAGACGGACTGGTTTACGCAAAAAAAAGGAACCAAAGTCATGATTCAACACAGGAATCCCAGCAATATGGCGAAAACTGATTCGTGTTTCGATAAGGTATCGAAAGATGAATTAGGCAAGTCATGCGGGAACCCAATTTTAGTTTGGCCATAGCGACAGGTGCTTGTTGACGAGGCCGAACAGCAAAGAATTGAAGAGGAAAGCATGCAGAAACCTATACACAGTATTGTCACCCATTACCTTCCGAGTTGGTGAACGAGCAACAACTGAGACATACTGGCCGCAACCAGAATCAAGGAGGACCTGTGCCTGGACTACCAAGTCATCAGTGGAAATGTGTATGCTGGCAGTTGTCCACACCATCAGATGTCCCAGTATCAGATGGAAAGCAACTTGGCGTTATGTGGCAGTAATGAGCATGGAGTTTCAAGGAGTTTGGGAGGCTCTACTGGGATAGCTGAAGATGACTGAGAATATTAGCAAGAGCTTGCACCGCATTTGGAACAGGGCCAGGGGATTCAAACGTCACAAAGGGATACAACAGGGGTCGGACCACGGATCATAGTCGTAACCTTGCAATTAAATATATATTCAGTTCAACCGTTTTTGGAATTAGACCCGCTGCACAAGGCACGCAAAAATTCTATACGAAACGCAAAGAGGATCAAAGACAGATACCGTACCTTTTGTTCTGAACACCTCGCTGAGAAAGGATTCTATTCTGTTGAAATATGGCCTCAAGCAGTTTTGAAGCCAGATTGTAAGCAGGTAGGACCACGGGGCACTATCTGACTTGCGCACGTGCTTCCAGGTGGTGCTATGCTGAACAAGCACCCGTTGCCAGAGGCCAGCCGTTGCCCATTCTTCCGACCTCACATATTCTGAGGATATCAATGTGCATACGGTTCCTTGAGTTGAAAGACCGGCAAATTCTGATTGTCAGAAATAGGCCTCCGATGTTGCTGGAGTTGAAAAAGGCGAATGTGCATCAAGCAGGCGTCAACTCAGTCATCACAATTTGGCATTTGCAGCTGGTAAGGAGTTTGCGCATGGTCAAAGTCTCCGCGTTGCTTGCTGGTCGGAACGCTTTAAGTCTCCACAGACTGAAACACTGTCGTGACTTGCCTGAATGAGTTATCAGCCCATCATATCATTGAATACAAGCAAGGCACATACGGGCTGCACTTGAAAGGGGCCCTGGGTCAGCACAGCATTTGCACAATTGAAACGGTACAAAGCCCTAGTCGATTCACCTACTGCACGCAGGAAACTTGAACCATGATGGGCAATCTGCAAGTTTGTGCCGGCAATGTGTTCGGGGCGTTCGCTTTTTGTCCTTGTCCTAGCCAAGGTGTGTGGCTGGCCGCTGGGTAAATTCTCGCGGCAAAAGAGGTTTGGACGGCTTCAGTTGTGCAGCTTGCGTCCAGGCCTACACATGCAGAGCATCAAACTGAAGTTACTAAAGTAAGGACAAAGTTTTATTCAAGGCCGCACTAGTGGTTCCAATAGAGGCATTGTTGGGCATCATTGGTTGGGGTCAGATTGCAGACTCTTGGAGTGCCAATAGAAGTGTGTGTGTGTGTTGTGTGTGTGTTGCCCTTTGCACTCACTGTATTTGCTTGCTGAGCTGCAGATAGGTTGAAAGAGAATGGCTGTTTGTATCAAAGTCACGAAAGACAAGTTGAAGAGAAGAGATCTTGACCGGCAGATCAGCTGCTGACAAATGTTGCTCAATAACGCTGAATAATGTGTGTGTGTGTACATGTGTTTGTGTCTGTGTGCAGCATGTCTCTTTGACTGGTTTTTGCATGTTTTTGCTTAGAGTTACTGTACATTGTAACACACTGCCCCGCACCACACCGCCCAAATTTTCCCTTCATACTGATCCCCCCTAGACCCAAACCAAAGCTCTGAACACCCTCCTATTGCCTGAACTTACCCATCATGAGGCCACATGGCTGCACCGACAACTGCAAGCACCATTCAACCAACGTCCACCCATGCATGCATTTACCAGTATGTATAAACTCATGCCAAGGTGACAGTTATGGTATACCGCATACAAGATCATACAAGTATGAGCATGTTGGTGTGTGTGTGCGCGCGCACGGATACAGTCGCTTCAAGCGAGTCGAGTGTTTGGCAGAGTTTTACGGTGCGTAGTCAAATAGCAGTTGGTGTTATTCATGGAAATTTGCTTTTGCTGCCCCTTCAGAGTTGACTACAGTCATCCGAACAAATCGGTTGACGCATGGAAACCGCATTTAGTTTCTGCCCCTGGTCAGAGCAGCTCTATGTTGTGCTTGATTTCAACGCTTGGATACAAAAAAATGCATTAAAAATGCGAGATGAGTTCCCATTGTAGATAGACATCTCACATTTTGCATGTGCTCCCTGCCTGTCTCTGTACATAAATCGCACATTGGGATGTGGACTTGCAGGTCGTGACTCCTAAGTATGCGGCTTTTGATGCCCAGATACGACAGGACTGCTTTGACGCTGGCGGTGTCATACGAGTGATGTGTATGACATATTCATTACATTTCTACATACATAGAATGTCATAGAATGTAATATCTACATATATATAATTACATAATGTTATATATATTTATATATAACATTATATAACTATATATAATGTGTATATATATATACATGTAGGGAGACGGAGTTTATAGTTGTATATTAGTATATTATATTATACGCGGTCGAGGCATGATAGTAGCCGATCGATTCGAACAATCTTTTGTTCACTGGTGCAGCTTCAGACGGTGCGGGGGACGGCTCATTTTCAGGATCGACCCACCACTAAAAAGATCCTCACTGTGGTAATTTATTTTTTCCATATCGCTACAACATTGTCCAAATTCCCCGTTCCGACCTTATATCTGGCTGCAACATAGGCTCAACTTGGGTCACCTTTGGCCAACGCACGACTTAGCTTCAACTTGGGTCCAACTTGGGTCCAACATGGTGCAGCTTGGCTGCAAGGTGGACCTCTTCGGTGGCAACTTCGGACCAAGTTGAGCTCCACGTGGGCTCAACATAACGGACATGGCCAGCGCGGCCAGCCCAACACCAAATCGCTTGGGCGTTGACGAAGCTGCGCGTCGAGCAATGCCCCCCCCACGTTTGGCCCAACTTGGTGCGAAGCTGCCACCAAACTGCTCCAAGTTGCGCCATGCTATCTGGAAGCTGGGCCCAACAGAGCTCAATGGGCGTCAGCCCGAGCCCAAGCCGGCCCAAGCGACACGCTGAAATCCTCCGTTTTAATTGCCATTTCCAACGTTCTTAAGCTTCGATGGGGGCTCGTGTTATAGCCCGTGTTACCCGCGTTGGGCCTGTCTTGCGTCCAAACGTGCCCGAGTTGCGCCATGTTGGACTCCGTTGGGCGGAGGCTGTGCCCCAGGCGGGCTCAAGTTGGAGCAAGTGGCCCGACTTTGGCTCAAGTTCGGGCCAAGCCAAGTTTGGCTGCACTTGGCTTTGGTTGGGCCAAGTAGGCCCGTGTTCTTCACCCCGCATCCCTATAACTACCATATTCCTCAACCTTGAAAAGTCGCCCACAATTTTGCGTCTAATCTGCGCGGGGGCGGCACGCGTGGCGAAGAGACTGGAATATACACATACTTTGTTATTACTATTGTATATGCCCACGCTGAGGCTGTTTGCCTTATATGCACACATATAACATATATATATATATATTTATAGAGAGAGAGATTATCATAACGCAATGATTGATTTGTTTTTTAATTTTTAAGCCTGAGCTTACTTGCATGTATTTAGAATTTACGTACCATGTTGCATGCTATTTTTTGCTGTTGGATCTCTTTTTGCAATTCTGCGCAAAAGGAGCTCTTCTTCGTCAGTGGCTTGCAGTTGCAGTTGACTGTGGACACACGCACACCCCAATCCGTGACCGCCAACGGCAATTTGCGCGCAGGCTGGCAGACGTTTTATTTGCAAATTTGTTTGGCGACGTTGCTTCTAAAGGCAGCTGCTTGTACTGTACCAGTACTGTACCCATCAAAGCACAAGATTTGACGTTTTCTGCAACAAAGGAGCGTTGGTCCAGCTGCTTCTTGAATTAGCACCAACTGATTTGCCTTTGCCCCACGCGCAACAGCCACGCATTTTCCCCATTATTTTTTTTTGCGATTCGGCAAATAAATCGTTTATTGGCACTCCAGATCTGAAACTACAAAATTCAGACACAGAAAACCCACACCAGACACCGTCTGAAATCTTCGAAAGAAAAGATGCAGTCGGAACGGCACTGGGTTGTTCTGCAAAGAGTTGGAGGCTCAACAGGCGCGAAAATCAGCGGAGGTTCGATTTGAGCACGTGGAGGGCGGATTTGATCGTCACCAGCAAGTGTTGAACACACATGGTGCCAATGCCTCTTTAGAAAACTTACACATATCGAGTAATGTTGGCTATTGATTAGTGTGAGGGCCCCCCCTCCTCAACGATTTGCGTCTACTGAATAAACGGCCATTTTAGACGACCCCCCCCCCAACAGTTTTAGGATAGTCAACTTAAGTAAGGATTTCAATTGACATCAATCTACTTTCAATTGGTCTTCCTTTCAAATCCAAAAAATCACCCCAAAAGTTTTTGTGCACAATAGAGTGCCATCGAAACAATTACATTATTGAGGATCTCGGCCACTCATGGGGTACCCCCTTGAAAAATTGTTTGGGTGTTGCTTTTTAAAAAGGGTTTAATAAGGCATCCAATTATTTGGAAAACTTGCGTTTTCAAGGCTTTAACAGATATGGCTTTCTAAAGTAAATGGACATGAATGGACCAGCTTTATCCACAGAAAGGTGGATAAAAGGTTTTGTGTTTTTTTCACCCCATTTTTTTTGGTGCACAATAGAGTACCATCGAAACAATTACATTATTGAGGATCTCGGTCACTCATGGGGTACCCCCTTGAAAAATTGTTTGGATGCTGTTTTTTTAATAGGGGTTCAGAAAGGCATTTAACTATTTGGAAAACCTTGCATTTTCAAGGCTTTAACATAGATGTGGTTTTCTAAAGTAAATGGACCAGCTTTACCCAAGGAAAGGTGTATAAAGGTGGATAAAGTTCCTACCGAAAAAATTGGATCTGAGAAAACATTTTCCACAATAGAGGCCCACCCCCACCATCCCACAGGATACTGAATTATCTTGGGAAAAACCCACAATAGTGTTCCATCACACCAATCGATAACCAACATTACATCCTGGTGTGCTACCTCTCCAGCAAACAGTCCCAGTTTGAGAATATCGGATGCATGACCAGACAGCATCCGCGCGCCGCTTTCATTGTCAGAGAGTGGCCATTTCTTCATGTGCATTGACCAGTACCTGATGGCAGTGTCAAAAGCAATACTAAGTTCTTTGGTGTTCTTTGGAGTGGGCGATCATCTACTCAGGTTCCTTGTTTTGTTTGTTAGTTCATGTTAGTTCTGTTTTACTTGCGCTTTCTCTTCCGTTGGTTTTCTGACTTTCTAGCCACATACATCCAGCAATCACAGCACAGTGCACGTACGTATCGTGATCATTAGTGTTCGGATTACAAGCCCGTGTATACAGGCAATGTACACTTAATATAATGTACAGTATATTGATTTATACATATGCAATGTGTCGCAATCATCGTGATACTTTGCGATGCATTGTCAGTTGTCATGTGTTGAAATCTATCCCCATGAATTGCAATACATTGCAATCTATTCCAACAAAGTGCAGTTGAGTTTTTTCGTACATTTTGCATTCTGAAATCCGTTTGCGTGCTCGGGCTGAATCGCCATAGACTGGCTAACTCTAGCTTGGAATGAGATGTGACGATCAAATGTGACAGAGGCGGCAACAAAGATATTTTCGTTGCGGAACTCTTGCCTGACGCTGAAGAGACCTTGAGACGTTACCGTTCCATCACCACTGCAGGCAAGCACAGATACGGATTTGGGATATTTCTTGATGGCCGTGATTGGATTTGTGAGCGGGAGTTTTTCAACTTGTCACAAGCTGTAGGCAGCAAATTTGTTTGCTGACAGATTCGTAATCCTGTTTGTGATTGCTGCCAATATCATCTAGGAACTATGAGTTTGATGCTTTGCAGCCGTGAGAAGTCGTAAGAACGGCTGCACGAACCTCGCTCAGAAAGGTGCAAACAATATCTCAATATCAGTAGTACCGCACAAGGCGCGGAAGTTTCAAAAATAGGAAACCTATAGGAGAGGTTGGTTGTTGTGACTCGCGGATGGCAGAGCGAATCCACTGATGGACTAAGAGGTGATTGATCTCTCACTCTTTCTCTCTCTTTTGCTCTCTTTCTCTCTCTTTCTCTCTCTCTGAGATTGTCTACCTACCTACCTACCTACCTACCGATCTATCTATCTATCGATCTATCTCTCTCTCTGTCTCTCTCTCTCTCTCTCTCTCTCTCTCTCTCCTCTGTCTATCTATCTATCTAACTATCTATCTATCTATCTATCTGTCTGTCTATCTATCTATATATCTGTCTATCTATCTATCTATCTATCTGTCTATCTATCTATCTATCTATCTATCTATCCATCCATCCATCTATTCATCTATCCATCCATCTATCCATCTATTCTATCTATCCATCTGTCTATCTATCTAGCTATTTATCTATCTATCTGCCCTTCCGTCTATCTATCTATCTGTCTATCTATCTATATATCTGTCTATCTATCTATCTGTCTATCTATCTATCTATCTATCTGTCTATCTATCTATCTATATATCTGTCTATCTATCTATCTATCTATCTATCTATCTGTCTATCTGTCTATCTGTCTATCTGTCTATGTGCAAGCTTGAAAACCTTGGTATTGTACGAGGTTTCTTGGTTTTCCAAGTTGACAACATCAAAAAGACGCAGCACTTCTGCGAGACTTCTTCAATTTTTCAACTTGACAACATCAAAAACAAAGCAATTTTGCGAGACTTCCTTCAAAAATGGAAAGTAGTGCAGAGCTAACAGCTTCGTACCAATGCGTTTTGCGATTTTTCCAGTCCACCTGTCGAAAGTACTGCGCCTGCCGCGAAAAAGTGATGCCAAGTCATACGAAGTGCGGCACCTGTCACGCAAAATCATCTCAGCAAACCTGAAGATCTGATGCTCCAAAATGCAACCCTTCTCAGGAAATCAGCGCCCTGACCTCCTAACATCTCTGATGAACATGTCTTTTGTACTGCGCCTGCCACGCGAAATGCATCTTTGAAGATCCTCTTCAAATGTCCCACGCCTGCCATCGCTTTTGGAAATCCCACAAAACCCTCACGTCTTGCTCACTTTTGACAAGGTGCACAATCCACATCTGAACGTTCAAAAGTGCTCTGTACCCGTCAGTTTTTTGCACTTTTGACTTCAAAATGCGCTTCGCGCCACAACGGCGAGCAATTTTTCATCTCTCATCTGGCCAGATGGCTCCACCCGCCGCCTTTTCGACCCTCCGGAGCCACAAACCATTGGAAAAACACAGTGTTTTCGCGACTTTCCTACCTTTTCGATCGGGGATACCATTGTCTCTACAAAAGCCGGTATCATGTGACCCCTACAAAGGGTTCTGTAAGGCTCCATTTTGTAAGGATCACTTTGCTGTGTACCCGGTTTTTGTAGTAGAGCGATACCTTTGTAGGCATTCCTGCCTGGTCCACCAAAAGTGTTCAAATTGCATGAATCCTTAAATGGACCTACTGGGAAAACCAAGAGTCTTTTGTAATGGATAAATTGTGGCCAAAAACAATTCCAATCTAAGTTTTCACAAAGGCCTTGCAAATCTACGGAAATTATGTTCAGTTAACATCATGCAAACACATTTCCCAAGAATAATTCTCCAAGAATTACCATGAATTTTATTGAATTTTCATATATTTATTTATGTTTATATACATTTATATGTATTTTTTGTCAGGGGTAGACAAAAGCAAGGGCCTGTAGGATCCTGTAGGATCGTCTTGGATCGTCTTGGTGCATAGCCCAGCTATGCAGAAAAATGACGAGAAGCAATCCATCGCGAAGACCGTGAAAAAGAAACTTGGGAAATCTTGGGGAAATAGCAGTGCTGTTTATTTTTTAAAGGTACGACATGGTACGACCCAAGAAGTAGCTTAAGTTAGTCAGAATAATCCCTGGTTGAAAGCTGTTGAAAGCAGTTGCCGTAGAGGAAAAATCAACCCCAGATTCACTACAAGAATATCCTGTGCCCTTGGACCATCCAGAAAAAGGACCTTAAATTTCACTACAGAAGTTATCAACCAACATGTGAACAAGGCCCTACAAAAGTATTATAGAAAATTAAGGCTATTTCAAAAACAACAAGGTGGGCCAGAGAACCCAAAAGCAAGACGGCACACAGCACGCCTTTTCTTGAAAATCTTGGGGTGTGGCCAGCTGTGCTCTGCACGAAATCGACGTAAGATCTTTACTTAAACATCGTGCGCACTGATGGTATCAGGGGCCACGATTCACCACAGCATGCTGTGTCAGCTACGCCTACAGTCTTCTAGTCGCTATTTCTGTTAATGTAATTAACTCTATCCCATCTGTCTAGTCGCTATCTATTTCTGCGTTCTCGTTTAGTTTGCTTCGCCGCAGAGGGAGCGAGCACGAAGCGTGGACGGACAGAACGAAATGAAAATTAAACGACAGAGGGAGCTGACCAAAAGAGCATGAAAACGAAGATATATATGAAGGTGACAGATGGCAAATGATCATGAAAAATGAGACATGATAAAAGATGGGTAAAGACTTCTCTGTACAAAAGCTTCTTTGCATAAAAGCTTCTGCAAGTAAAAGCTTCTGTGGGCAAGAACTTCTCTGTGTAAAGGGTTTTGGTGTAAAAGCTCTTGTGTGTAAAATCTTCTGTGTAAAACGCGCTCTGTGTGTAAAAGTTTCTGTTTGCGAAAGTTTCTTTGCGTACCAGCTTCTGTCTGTAAAAGCTCCTCTGTGTTAAGGTTTTGTTTGTGTAAAGCTTCTGTGTGCAAAAGCTTCTCTGTGTAAAAGACTTCTCTGTGTCAAAGCCTCTGAGTGTACAAGCTTCTCTGTGTAAAAGTTCCTCTGTGTAAAAGCTCCTCTGTGAAAAAGCCGCTCTGTGTAAAAGGCTTCTGTGTGTAAAAGCCTCTGTGTGTGCAAGCTTCTCTGTGTCAAGACTTCTTTGTGTAAAGATTTCTCTGTGTAAAAAACTACTCTGTGTAAACGCTTCCGTGTAAACTCTTTCCTGTGTAAACGCCTCCGTGTGTAAAGACTTCTCTGTGTAAACCCGTCTGTGTGTAAAAGCTCCTTTGTTTAAAGGTTTTTTTGTGTTAAAAGCTTCTGTGTGTAAAACCTTCTGTGTGTAAAAGTTTCTGTGTGTAAAAGCTTCTGTGTGTAAAGGTTTCTGTGTGTAAAAGCTTCTGTGTATTAAAAAAACCTTATGTAAAAGCTTCTGTGTAAAAAAGCCCCCTGTGTGTACAAGCTTCGCTGCGTAAAAGCTGCTCTGTGTAAAAAATCTGTGCGCCGTAAAGTTGTCTGTTTGTAAAACCTCCTGTGTGTGTGTGAAAGCGTCTGTGTGTACAAGATTCTGTGTGCAAAAGCTCCTCTGTGCAAAGACTTCTCTGTGTACAAAGCTTCTGTGTGTGAAAGTTTCTGTGTGTAAAAGCTTTCCTGTGTAAAAGTTTTCTTGTGCAAAAGCTCCTGTGTGAAAAACTTCTCTGTGTAAAGGCTTTTTTGTGTAAAAGCTTCTGTGTGTACAAGCTGCTCTGTGTTAAAGTTTCTGTGCGCCGAAAGAACGTCTATCTGTAACACCTTCTGCGTGTAAATCTCGTTTGTGTAAGGACTTCTCTCGTAAAAGCTCCTCTGTGTCAAGACTTCTTTGTGCGAAAGGCTTCTCTCTGTAAAAGCCTTTGTGTGTACAGGCTTCTCTGTCTCAAGACTTCTCTGTGTAAAGACTTCTGTGTGTAAAAGCTACTCTGTGCAAAAAAGCTTCTGTGCGTAAAGGCTTCTGTGTCAAGACTCCTCTGTGTCTCTGTAAACGCGTCTGTGTGTCAAAGTTTCTGTGTAAAGGCTTTTTTTGTGTAAAAGCTTCTCTGTGCATGTCCCATTTTTCAGCCTTTGCAAACCGTTTGACCGGTCTTGGGACCATTTGACCAGTCTTGGGTCCACAATTTTTTCAGGCCAATCGCAATGATGGCATTTGTCCTGAAAAAAACCCGTGCCAACAGCTCTGCCGCAAACTATTTTCAAGGTTTCCTATCCGTCCAGCATGTTGTCTCGCTCCCTCCAGCGAAGCTCTCCGCAAGCTATTTCCACGGTTTTGTCCCGTCCAGCATGCTGTCTCGCTCCCTCCCAGCAAGGCTCTCCGCAAGCTATTTCCACGGTTTCCTCTCCGTCCAGCACGCTGTCTCGCTCCCTTCCAGCGAAGCTCTCCGCTAGCTATTTCCACGGTTTCCTGTCCATCCAGCATGCTGTCTCCCTCCCTCCCAGCGACGCTCTCCGCAACCTATTTGCACGGTTTCCTCTCCGTCCAGCACGCTGTCTCGCTCCCGCCCAGCGAAGCTCTCCGCAAGCTATTTGCACGGTTTCCTCTCCGTCCAGCATGCTATCTCGCTTCCTCCCGGCGAAGCTCTCCGCAACCTATTTGCACGGTTTCCTCTCCGTCCAGCATGCTGTCTCGCTCCCTCCCAGCGAAGCTCTCCTTAACCTATTTCCACGGTTTCCTCTCCGTCCAGGATGCTGTCTCGCTCCCTCCCAGCAAAGCTTTCCGCAAACTATTTGCACGGTTTTCTCTCCGTCCAGCATGCTGTCTCGCTCCCTCCCAGCGAAGCTTTCCGCAAGCTGTCTCGCTCCTTCCCAGCTCAGCAAGCTATTTCCACGGTTTCCTATCCGTCCAGCATGTTATCTCGCTCCCTCCCAGCGAAACTCTCCGCACTATTTTCACTTTCCTCCGTGCAGCATGCTGTCTCCCTCCCTCCCAGTGAAGCTCTCCGCAACCTATTTGCAACGGTTTCTTCTCCGTCCAACATGCTGTCTCGCTCCCTCCCA